CCCCCCCCCCCCCCGTTCCAGAGAATGAGCCTTCCTTGGCAATTTGACAGCAAAGGGCAGTCTTGTGAACACTTAAAAGTCTCTCTGGAAAATAAATAGCGTTCACAGAAGTTTTTAATGAATGTTTCACAGCAGAGTTTCTCTAAGTAAAATGTAAACACATTACCTTAAACTGTTTCTGGATCACAGTGACTCTTGGTTTATAGCAGATGGGTAGGTGGACCTTTTTGAGCTTCATGTTAGCTGGGTGTTGGTTACCTGAGGTCACCTATCTTCTAAAGGAGAATGCCATTAAGTGACCAATAACAAAACTGGCCAGCAGTCTTGTATTATCAGTACTATAATGTGGTGCTTGGGAGGGTGGGGCTGGTTGGGTTCATTCAATTTGTGTCTGTGCATGTTTACTCAGAATTTAGTGTCACTGAATTCTGGGGGGCTAACTCATGAGTGCCCTGACCTGGATTCCCCAGGTTAGCTTGATCTTGTCAGATCTCAGAAGCTAAGCATGATTGACCCTCATTAATGTTTGGATGGGAGACTGCCAAAGGAATACGCAGAGGCAGGCAATGGCAAAACCACCTCTGAAAGTCACATGATGGCAAAAAACTGCTACAGAAAAACGCCTCATGATTAAAATAAATAAATAATAAATAAACGACTAAAGGGCAAAGGAACACAATCTGATAAATTTAAACTATTGGAAATGCATAACTTGTATTTTACATTTAGCAGTTTCAGTGTAGTCCTGGTCACTTTGCCCCTTCTCAACATAATTTCCCAACTTGGTGTGAGCTTGCTGCAGATGCAAGCAGAATTGCAGATGGTCTGGTGCAGACTCCAGCTAAGATGCCACTCTTTGGCCTGGATATTTATCTGGGTGGTATAGAGGTTGCTAGCTGAGCAACTGATTTGTATCACTTGTTAAAGACCTGAAAAATCTAAATATTTGCAAATTTGTTACACTCAGTTATTGTAATTGTTATTTGTATTTCTCCTGTTTCATGTCAAGCAATTTGTTCTGTGACAAATTAGTCTCTCTTCAGTTTCCCATTGGCATTCATAATCATCAGTGCTCTTTTTCTTGAATAGTGTAGTCTTAACTGTAGCCCACAAGGAAGCAGAAACTTAAAGGGAGTAAACAGAAAGAATTCTTCAGGTTCCTGATGACCTGTGAAGAAGTTCTGGATTCCCCTTTTGCCCTCGTGATCTTGCTGATTTCTGGTTGTGCTAATTCTGCTTCCAGATTTGTTTTTTTGGGTAACCAAAAGTGTGAACTGGGATGCTGTAGGTGGTGGAAACAGGATGAGATTTTTTTAAACTGATTATCTGCTTGGATGTATATTGCTTGCTTTGTTGTAAGCAACTTGACTTAATTAAAATGGTTAATGAAAATATTTTTCCTTTTTGGTGTAACATCAGTAGTTAAGTATTTTTGACATTTCTACAATGATCTTCCTAGTAACACTGCCTTTATTTGGCTCTTGTTGAATAAGTAATTGTATTGGAGTGGCATATTGTACACAGTATATTGCACAATAAATTCACTTGTGGAGATATCATAACTACCATTAGTATCGTGTGTAGAAATATATGTGACCTTTTAATCTTTGTTTAATAAATATTAGCCTTTTGTGTCATCATCTGACACTGAAATGTGAAGCATGAGTTTCTCAGGACGCTTGTTACCCTTTTAAACCAACATTGTATACAAGTATTCTAGTGAAGTAATAATTGCTCTTGTTCTTAATTTTCTGTATGATTGTCTGTGAATATTAAATGGATGTTAGACATTTATCTGAAAATCATGCACTGTAGCACCACTGTGTCTTTAGCGAAATCTCTATTTAAAAGCTGCATCTCTTCTAGAGTAATAGACATACCAGGCTTGTACTTCTGGTATCACACCCTTTTGGGGGAGCGGGGCTAGTCAAGCTAGGATGTGGAAGGACATCAAAATTCTCTGGTTACCTTTCTGGTCAGCTTTTTTCCAAAAGAAAAGGGAGAGAATCCATTAATAGGATTATTTTTCTACAGAATAATTATGACAATGCATTGCATAATTGTTGTGGTTTTTGTTATAGAAGAATATGTAAAAGAATGGATAACAAGTTAAGATATAAGGAACAAGTATGGGTGGAAAGTACAGCAGTCTCAGGCTCTCTTTTTCCCCTCTGGAAAAAAAAAGTCCTTTTTCTAAGCAAGAACAAAATTGTTGTGGGTTTTGTACTGAAAAAACAATTTCTGACTTTGTGGATGTTTGCTTCACCAAAGCTTGTATTGTAACTTAGCTAGCCTTATGACTTTTGTATTCTTTCCCTTAGATCTGTACCTACTAGGCGTGACAGCTATTTTCCATGTGTGTACTCTAGTTTAATCTTTAGTAATAAAATTTCTTTCCTGTTTAAGAAAGCAGACTGTGATTCAAATCCTATCCACACGCCTAGACAGCTCATACACTCTAGGAACATGCATGCACAGGGAGGCGGGTCTGTAGTAACTGAAAAGCTTGGGCGTATGTTGTACTTGCTCAGAGGCAGCCTTACCAGGGTCCCCCAATGCACAGGCTATATGATAGGCCAGGTTTCATAACTTGGGATGATGGCATGAAGAGAAACATGCTTTTGCATGTCACAATCCCACCACAAGCTTCAAGGTCAGTTCTTTTGAAAGGGGATCCTGACCACACAGTTTACACAGAGATCTGTTCTTCAGGAGTGCTGGCATACTTCATCAAGCTGAAGTGATAGATCACAGTTTGAGTCCAGTGGCACCTTTAAGACCAACAAACTTTAATTCTGGGTATAAGCTTTCATGTGCATGCTTATACACAGAATAAACATGGTCTTAAAGGTGCCACTGGACTCAAACTTCATTCTGTTGCTTCAGACCAACATGGCTACCCACCTGAATCTAGGCTGAAGTGGGTCAGTCAGAGATCATTCTGGAAATCTTGTGAGGCCTAGCAAGGCTGCAGCAGGCTGTATCTGTCACATGGGGTCTCCCTTTCCTGATAATAGGTTTGCACTTGCTAGTTTGTGTGGTCTGCCTCCTGTATCATCACTTGTGATGGGCTGGTCTGCAAAGTTTGAGGAACAAAGATGCTCAGTGTATCATGTGTACACTTTTGTTATACAAGTAGCCCATGCTTCAGAACAAAGCATAGGTTTACTATAGTCTGAGCCCTGTGCCGAGGGGGTTGCATAATGTAACTATTGCAGACTGTTCAGGAACTGTAAATGGAAATGTCCAAGAGCTGTTTACAAAAGATGTTTTATGCAAATGTCCCCAACAAGATGAAGAAGAAAAAGATATACAAAACCAAGGCATAGTTCTAGGTTTATGGAATGAGATATTAATTTTTTTGCCATGTCTATAGAATGCAGTGTTGTCATGAAGTTACACATCTCCATTATAGTGTGCTGAATATGGACCTCGGGGTACGCTGATGTGGTGAGCTACAGCTAAGGGAAGGTCTTAAAACAAACCTGGGGAACTCACAGGCTTGCAGAATGATTTGAAAACTTAAAAAAAAAGTGCATGGGATTTAAAATCCAAACTTAAAAAAAGGTCCATTTTCTTGGGAGTTGCTAGGCAACACTCAGGATGAATTGGGGGATCATGTGTGAGTGGGGGGGAGTTCATATTTCAAGATGCAGCTGTTATTGCTGCTCCTTTCTTTTTCGCTCAGGCTGTGACTGGCTGAATACTAAGCACCTTTCTGATTCACTGTTTTTCTCGTACAGGATCAAGTGGCAGAACTGCCAGTGTGGGTAAAGAAAAATAGTGTGTCCATTGGTTTTTGTGTAATTACCATTACTTGCTCTTACCAACTCTTTATTATTTGGAGGGAAAACCCTCCTATGGTCAATATGGCATGTACTTTTCACTTATGATGAGGAGGAATCTCCAGAAGAAAATTAGATCCCTTATCAATGCCCCAGAGAGCCAGATGTCTCCCTCGAGGGCCAGGATTCACATCCAGCTAGCCAAAGTCCTCCCAGTGGAGAAGCAGCAGAAAATCAGGGACATGGTCATGGGCATCAGGAGCAGCAGCTCCACGGATATCATGCAGCTTTCAGCCGTGCAGGGACTCATGATCTCAGAGGTTGGCTTCATGCAACCACATTGAATAATCATAACCACAATCACAAGTAGATAGGTTGGGGAGTCCAGTGCATGGGC